GTGGCTCTCCCCGCTGCACAGGCGGCGATGGGACGGCAACTGTGCCAGCGGCTCCCCTGCCCGCAGGGCACCCGCTCCCTGTGCCGGGGAAGGCGGCAGCCACCCACTTGCAGGCAGGGCACGCAGGCAAGGCCCTGCCATGGGAAGGCTGTGTCTCGGCAGTGACTCAGACGTGCCGCTGGCAGCCAGCGGGTTTAATAGAAAATGATTCAGCCGTTGTAATCGGGGCCATCACGGCTGGGAAATCCAGCCTCCCCTGCCCGCAGGGCACCCGCTCCCTGTGCCGGGGAAGGCGGCAGCCACCCACTTGCAGGCAGGGCACGCAGGCAAGGCCCTGCCATGGGAAGGCTGTGTCTCGGCAGTGACTCAGACGTGCCGCTGGCAGCCAGCGGGTTTAATAGAAAATGATTCAGCCGTTGTAATCGGGGCCATCACGGCTGGGAAATCCAGCCCCTGGCGAGGAATCCCCTGGCTCCCTGCCTGCACTGCTGGCGCTGTGGCCCTCCCTGGCACCCCGGCCCCCTGCCCTCGTCAGGGCGGGGAGTTATGGTATGGGCACCCCCTCGCCGCCCCCGCCAGGGCCATCTGGGGAGCGGGGCTCCCCTGGGTGCAGCACCCGGCACCCCAGGGTGGGGGAGCGGTGACCTAGTTTGGGACTCACGTATGAGGCGCGATAGCATCGAGGAGAGTGTGAGCCAGGCATGGCTTCCTCTCGGGGAGGAAATCGCCTCCTCTGCAAGGGAGATAAACCCCAGGAACGTCAAAGCTAGCAGCGCTAACCCTCCCGTGCCTGGCTGCCAGAGCCTCCCCGGTCTGGCCATCCCATGGGCAGGAGCACCTGCACCGCCTGTGGCCCATACGCCTGGCTCCCTTGTCCCCGTCCATGGGGACACAGCCAGGGGGCAGGCAGTCGATCATCCTGGCTCCACTCCCCGGCCCCCCTTCCTGGCCAGCCTGGCAGCACCGTTTGCAGAACATACGAGGGGCACCCGATGGCGGCCCCCTGCCCCAGGCGCAGGGGGCGGCACGGTGGCCCCCGTGGTGTGCGTGCCCTGTGGCACCAGCAGGAAGCTGCTTGCTCAGGTACGGTGGGGAAAGCATGGTGCAGGGACTGCCATGGGGCATTCCCAGCCCTGGGGCCACACGCTTGTGCAGCTCCGGGGCACGGGGCCACGGCGTCAGCCATCCTGCCTGGTGCAGGCACCGATGTCCATGTGGCACTGAGCCGGGCTCAGCTCTGGCTCGGACAGCCCAGCATGTGTGGCTGGAAAGGTGGGGAGCATGGTGGGAGAGCTGCTCCCCATGGGTGCACAGCTCCTGGGGCACCCCGGCTGCCTGCATCCTTGCCCTCTTCCTGCCTGCAGGTGATCCTGGCAACACTGTCCCTGGCAGCAAGTGAATCACAGCCCCCAGGGTGCCAGGACTGCGCCATGCCGCGGGGGCAGCGGGTCCCGGTGCAGCCGCCCACCACCCCACAGAGGCGCGCCACCAGACCCCCCTGCCCCGCCGGCATGAACTGGATTGAGGGGGCTCACCGGTGCTGTGCCCAGTGTCCTGCAGGTGAGAGCCACCCAGGTGGTGCGACACGGCACACTGTGGCACACCAGGCATGTTGCCCCGGGTGGCCATGCTCCCTGTCACCCCACTGTCTCCACAGGGACATTCCTGCTCAGCCCCTGCTCGAGCCGCAACAACAGCGTCTGCACTGCCTGTCCCCCTGGCACCTTCCGCGCCCAGCCCAACACCTTCCCCGAATGCCAAGCTTGCTACGAGTGCGACCACCAAGGTGAGCTGGTGCCGTGCCACGCCATGCCATGCTGCACGGTGCCGTGCTGTGCCATGCAGTGCCATGCTGTGCCATGCAGCGCCGTGCTGTGCCACTCACTGCCCGTCTCCTGCAGCTTTCCAGAGTGTGCTGAGCAACTGCTCGGCCACCAGCAACGTCGCCTGTGGCTGCAAGCCCGGCCACTTCCGCGACTGCCTCGACGAGCGCTGCAGCGACTTCTCCTGCCGGCAGTGCCAGCCCTGCACTGGGCGGCTCATCCAGCGGCCCTGTGAGTGCTGCCGGCCGGCCCACGGCATGTCCCCACCGGCTGTGCCGCTTCCGGCTGTGCCGCCCTGCCTGACGCCTGCCCTCTCCCCAGGCTCGGAGGCACAGGACGCACTCTGCGGCAGCTGCAAGCCTGACTTCTACGCTGAGGGTGGCGAGTGCCGGCCATGCCACATGTAAGCACTGACCCACTCTGTGCCCCATCCAGGGACATGTGTGGGGCCCGCGGCATGGTGCAGCACTGCACCCACGGCTCCCCTCTTCTTGCAGGAGCGCCCCGGAGACATGCAGCAAGGAGTGCCAGCGGGCGTGCGGTGGCAGACGAGGTGCGAGGGCGGCAGGGCTGGGGGGGGTGGCGCGGGAGACACTATGCCAGCTGGCTGATGGGGACGCTCCCGCTCCTCCTTGCAGGCTCGGGGCTGGAGTACGTCCTGCTGGCGCTCACCGGACCCCTCTTCCTGGGCGCCCTTGCCATCTACCACAAGAGGAAGCGGCTCCGGCACGATGCCCCGGCAGGCAACCCCCTCCCTGCAACACACGCAGCCACCCCCACAGCCGGGGCTGTGGCCACACCATGGTGCCAGGTCAGTGCCCAGGGGTGGGACAGCCTGTGCTGGACCAGGCCGTGCTCCTCCCAGGTGACGGAGAGTGCCACTGGCACGGCGAGGCAGAGCCCCGAGTACCGGGCCTTACTGCAGGAGCAGCCTGGCGGTGTGGCACAGCTGGGCAGTGAGGTGGAGCCCTCTGCCCCTCTGGAGCCCCGCAGCACCCTGCTGCAGGGCAGCCAGCTCTACACTGTCATCGATGCGGTGCCAGTGCGGCGCTGGAAGGAGTTCATGCGGGTGCTGGAGCTGCGGGAGGCGGAGATCGAGTTGGTGGAGCTGGAGGTGGCCCACATCCGTGACCAGCAGTATGAGATGCTGAAGCGCTGGTGCCAGCAGACCAGTGCCACGCTCGACCGCATCTTTGCTGCCCTGGAGCGCATGGAGCTGTCCGGCTGCGCCGAGGCGCTGCGCCGGAGCCTGCTGGCAGGCCCCTAGCCCCCCCGGTGCCGCCACCCTGGCAGAGGGAGGTCCCGGCACCTTCCTGGCTCACCGGGTGCCTCGGCCGAGCCATACCCCTAAGTATTGT